GAAAAAGAAAAAAGGGAAAAGAAAAAAAGGGGGGGGGGGGGGTGGAAAAACGTGCGTACACAAGAGTGTCGTGACAAAAAGGGGGAAGAAATTTTTTTTCAAAATTCGTCAGAGAAGCTTCTCTTTTCATGTCTGGGTAAGCACCACCGGAAGCTGTAAATGTTCACGCCTCGAACCGACCCCTCTTTTAATTTCTGCTTGGCTGGCTTGGAATTGATAAAAATTCTCTCGCAGGACGAGCGGGGAACCGGTGTGCCTTATTAATGGTAGATTACCGAAGGGAGTTGTATAGACTTTGTTGGTTATGGTTAATAACGAAAATTTATAAATTCACAAGAAGAGCCAAAGTAAAACTATATAACACACACACACACACACACAACTCTCTGCTGGCCCTGTTTCTCGCTCCCCTCGACAGAGCTGTCCGCTCGAAAAACCTTCGTTTCTCTCTTTCTACTCTTCTCTCTTCTTTTCGCAAAACGTGCACACACACGTACACACACGTGGCGTGGAGCAAACGCGCGGTGGCGAATCATTCAAGGTCGCAGCTAGTATCGTTCCAAGGTCAACGTCTAGATCTCCACGAGGTAGTAATAGCCGCGCCCGATGCGAGCAACGGGTCAATGCCCGGGATTACCCAAGGTCAACGTCCGCCGCGGCCGGGTCAACGGCCTCGACAGTCTCAAGGCCAACGTCCGGATTATTCGAGGTCAAGCCAAGGGGAGAGAGACCGCAAGATATGATGGAGAAATATCTCTGCGAAGCACTGCCGCACGGACGGGCACACTTCTCCCTATCGATCGATTCCACGAACCATACCTTTTTCCATCCCACCCCATTCGTTTTCCCCTTCTTCCCAGGACGAAGCTCGATGAAGAGGAATCGGTGTTCGAGGAGTATAATCGTGAGAGGAGGACTAATCCTACGAAGAGCGCGAGTTACAGTAAGTGAAATAAAAGGAAGAATATCGAGGTTATGTGGTTTAATGCAATATACATGCATGGATAGATAATGAAAATTATCGTGAATAATGAAACATTCTCTTCTTCTATCCCTAGCAGCAAAGGCCTTGACACTCGCGGCTAAAGAGAGAAGGCCTTGGAGATCATTCTAGTTAC